CCCGCCAGTCCGATGTACGCCACTAACCACATGCTCTGTGCCCAATGTCCATCACCGAGTGAGAGCCTACTGTGTGCCGACCACCCCATGAATGCCTACTGTGTGCCCAACACCCACTACAAACAGAGCACCTACTATGTGCCCAGGGCCTACCACTAACTGAGCCATGCTGTGCCCAGCACGGTGGGGTTGGGATGCCTGGCAGGAGAACATGGAGTCCAGTAGGTGGGAGCAGCCGGGGACTGTCCAGCGAGGGTGACTGGGACATAGTATGAGGTTCCTCTTGGGGTGATGAAAATTTTCCAGAATTCAATTGTAAGGATTCTACAGCTCCGTGAGCATACCACCACTAACTGCAATGCACAGATTAAAGGCGAGAACTTAATGGAATCTGGATTCCATTTCAATAAAGCTGTCGTTTTTAAAAGGCAGAAGGTGAGGCACTTTACACAAGTCAAAATGTCAAGAGTCAAGACACTAGAGGAAGAACGCACAAGGAGGTGCCCCGGCAGAGAACAGGGACAGGTCCCATCTGGGAGAAGCTCGCTGCCAATCTCATCCTGGCACTGACAGCAGATCCTCGGGGTCACATTCAGAACCCCGCAACCCCACAGGGCCGTGGGTGACAATGGACGGAGGCTACAGGAAGAGGCGAGTCACGAGAGAGACAACAGGGAGCAGGCTCCTGACCGGGGACAGGACATTGGGGCTGGGAGATGCTGCTTCCAGGGCGGGGCTGACACAGGAAAAGAAGACCCCAGGAGACATCACGAAGGAACAGGAAACACTGTGACAACACCAGCACCTGGCTGCTGATGGGGGAGGGGGCAGCAAGAGGCACACGCTGAGAACATCTACAAAGGTGTGCATGGACAGGTGTGCACGGGACAGGTGGTGCACAGATTGCAGGAAGAAGGTGTGCAAGGTCAGGTATACCTGCAAGGTCAGGCTTACAAAGAGAAAGTGTGTAGGAACAGGTGTGCACAGGGCAGGTCTGCACAGAACAAGTGTGTAGGGACACGTGCATGAGACAGGTGTGCAGTGATAAGCGTGCAGGGGCAGGGGTGCACAGAGCAAATATACTGGGACAGGTGTGTATGGGACAGTTGTGCACATAGAATGCATACGTGGACAGGTGTGCACGAGGCAGGTAAAGCGCTGTGCTGCCATTGACACACTGCCAATGGACACGCCCTGCAGGAAGTGCCAAAAACCTGAGCACCACCTTCTCTCGGGAAGGGCAGGATGGCCGGAAGTTCTCTGGGGACCTCGAATCTACTCAAAACGCTTTGTCTCTCCTTCAGAAAGTTCTGAAGCCAAAGGGCCTTACGTTTGGCCACGTGGGCAGTGAGGTCAAACCCACAGCCCCTCGGCACATGGGCTCCTGAAGGGCAGCCACTCCACAGAGCCGCGCAGTGTCAACTGTTCTGGACACCGACAGCCTTTCTGGACAGACAACTGTTCTGGACACCGACAGCCCCATTTTCTGAAGCTTGCCTGGCACGAGGCAGGGGTCCGACGGTGGTTGGAGGGTGCATGAAAAGATAGGGGATTTCCCCAGGCACGATTTGCAGCCCCGCCTATTCCTCACGGAAGTCGCGGCATTTGTTCGGGAACAGGAAGCACATCAGGGACATGACCGACTTGTCGGCCAGGAAACTAAAGCCTCTGGACCCCGACATGGCCCGCCTGGGGTCCAGCCTCTGAGCTCCTACAGAAAACTTTCAGCATGCTGGGGCATGGGGCTCTGAGGACAGCGGGCAGGAGGGGACAGAGGGGGTGAGGTAGGACACCCCCAGGGAAAGGAGGGTGGGATTCCAGGTGACCCAGCAGGCAGGAGAGGGACGCCGCTCTGAGAGGCCCCAGCACCGAGCAGCCCTCCAACCAGGCAGGGTGACGGGTGACCAAGCTGGAAGGGCAGCAAGCTTGGCATGGGTGGCCCCAGGCTGCTCGCCCCACAAAACCAACCACAGGTAGTGCTGACCTGCTTCAGTCAAACCTGCTGACCAGAGGAGGCACCCAGGCAGCCTCAGGAGGTCGTGGAGAGGGCACCCGGCGCGGATGACATCAACAGCAGAGGCTGTGTGCAAGTCAGCGCAGGGGGCTTCCTCAGAAGAGGGGCAGCGGGGTGAAGAGGGGAGCCAGGCAGACTCCCAGCACCCCCCACGTCCACATCAGGCCTCAGTTCCCCCCTCTGGCACCAGCAGGGGCTTGTCCAGGGGAAGCTCTCGGCTTGGGCTTGGGGGCTGTGGTCGGTAGGACAATGC